AGGGGAAACATGAGTTATTCCCCCTTTACAGGTTAAACCCATGGTGACTTTGATTATCTTGCATTTTCGTTGGGAGTCCATTTAAAAGGGAAAAAAATGTAAGATTTCTTGTTGATAGGTTTGTTTTTCTTGATCAGAGTAGAGAAATTTATCCACCAAGCAATCAAAAAATTCAATGCTTAAAACAACAGTGGGCCAGTTACACTAACCATAGTGTTAGTGTAGTGTAGTGTAGCACAATTCCGCTAAACATTAGCATAGTGTAGCAGAATTCCACCACATCTTGCACTAACACTACGTGCATAGGCCCCAAAAAAGGGCCCACTACACTACACTAACACACTGGTTGGCAATTTTTTGGCCCTGTAGAGCAGCGTAGCATAGCAAAATCTGCTAAAAATATGCTAACACTACATATTTTTGGCGTAAAAAAAGTGCCGCTACGCTACGCTTTTTGGGCCAAAAGCTTAGCGGCCCACCACTGCTTAAAATGTTAAAAAATTAACAAAGCATACTGTACCCCAAGTGTGACAAAAATGAGACAAAAAATATTGCCCAGCTAGTTGGTTTTTTAGCTGATGTATGAGTCCTACTATATGATTATTATCTCAATTTACTCATGAGATTTGAGAAAACAACTGTTTAAATTAATTATGTGCACCTTATTGAGGAGTTTGAGATTGCCCTGGGACTTGGGAGCAGCAATCTTGACAGTTCCAAATAGGCCTGTGGTCATGAAATTCTTGCTGATCTTCAATCATGAACTGTTGTCCGCACCCTTTAAGTATCATCCTTTCGCCATCGTATGTGGGTAGGCATCGAGCTACCAGTGGGACTTGGCATGGTTTTATGCCCTTGTGTCGGTTACAACGTGGAAGTTCAGCAAAGCACCATGTTATTGTCAATAAATTCCGGCAAGCAGGGGATTCACATATGTACTCAGCCCTTTGAGGAGGGGCTGTCAAAATTTCACGTGTCAGACTGGTCACTATAGCAGCAAGGACTATTAAGTGTTGGTGAAACATCTTGAGCAGGTGGTTGAGCAGGGTTGGTTTGTTGGGGTTTTGAACATGCAACCAGTAGGAGTGTGTGTGAATATAGATAGGGAGCCTTGAATGCTGACCGTTTGACTATGGTGACACAGATTTCCCTCTTGCCTGATGAATTAAAAATACTTGCTTGGTAATTCCCAACATCCACTGGGAGGGTATTGTGAAGTTGAGTTGAATTGCTGTGGATCATCACCCCCCCCCCCTTGAGATCCTTTCCTCTTTCTTCTTAATTTTGTTTTGTAGAAAATTCTGGGTTCAATCTGTGTGATGGCCAATCCCACTCTCAGTTTATCTCCACATATCTCTCAATAGATCTTATTGGATCTGGCTCCAAACTTATCATTCAACTATGAAGGTCTCATGTTTCTGTAGCAAAAACTCAATTTCAATGGCATTTGATAGGATTTCTTTATAAAATGTGGTGAAGAGACAGAGTACCTCAAGTAGCTAATTAGAAATACCATTCCCCTATGGTGAAAGCTTTAATTTATTGTGCGGGTTGCTATTGATTTGAATATATTTCACTGAAACCTTATCAGTCAGAGACTTATATTATCCAGCTTTTCAAAGGTGCTCTGTGGGATGGTCAGTCCTCACATGCATTCTCTATCTGTATCTTTTGACTTGGGGCCACATAAGATGTTTACCCAATATTTCAATTTTGATAGATTTGATTCATACATAATTTTTTACCTCTTACTTGCACCTGTGGGCATGCTTCAACCCTACCCGGTTCTTTCGTTCATTAAGAGTGCCAACAAATACCATGCTTATTAGTACCAGATTGATTGATAATATGTTGAAGATCTACCTTTCAAAAGTAAAGCGTGTCATAGGCTACATTGTATAAAAATCAAGATATGTATACATACTCTTAAATCTAGAGTCTAAAAGATACAGGGGTTTAAGGTTTTTTGTGGACCAGAGCTGAAGAGTACTCCCTGATACACATAGACACAAAAATTTAAATGAGAAAAAAAAGTATGTAAGTGATCAACATGATCAGACTAGCCAAGTGTGTTGAACAAATGATTGCCACTATCTCCAAGCCCAGGGACAATCATCCCATTTTTCAATTCTTGATCAACCGAGACACACCAGATCTGAAGGCCTTGACAGTCGTTAATGACGGCTTGCAGACTGGGCATGTTTTCTTTATTCCCTAGGGAACATGACTAGATACCACTTTCAGATTATACCATGTGACATTTTTTACTGGAAACTCTGTTGGTAGTCCATTCAAAAGGAAAAAAATGTAAAATTTCATGTTGATAGGTTTGTTTTTCTTGATCAGAGTAGAGAAATTTATCCACCAAGCAATCCAAAAATTCAATGCTCAAAATTTTAAAAAACAAACAAAGTGTACCACAAGTGTGACAAAAATGAGACAAAAAATATTGCCCAGCTAGTTGATTTGTTAGCTGATGTATGAGTACTACTATATGATTATGAAGCAATTTCCTCATTGGATTTCAGAAACCAACTATCCAAATTAATTATGTGCACCTTATTTAGGAGTTTGAGATTGCCCTGGGACTTGGGAGCAGCAATCTTGACAGTTCCAAATAGGCCTGTGGTCATGAAATGCTTCCTTATCTTCAATCATGAACTGTTGTCCGCACCCTTTAAGTATCATTCTTTCGCCATCGTATGTGGGTAGGCATCGAGCTACCAGTGGGACTTGGCATGGTTTTATGCCCTTGTGTACAACGTGGAAGTTCAGCAAAGCACCATGTTATTGTCAAGAAATTCCGGCAATTAGGGGATTTACATATGTAATCAGCCCTTTGAGGGGCTGTTAAAATTTCAAGTGTCAGACTGGTCACTATAGCAGCAAGGGTTATTAATTGTTGGTGAAACATGTTTATCAGGTGGTTGAGCAGGATTGGTTTGTTGGGGTTTTGAACATGCAACCAGTAGGAGTGTGTGTGACTATAGATAGGGAGCCTTGAATGCTGACCGTTTGACTATGGTGACACAGATTTCCCTCTTGCCTGATGAATTAAAAATACTTGCTTGGTAATTCCCAACCTCCACTGGGAGGGGATTGTGAAGTTGAGTTGAATTGCTGTGGATCATCACCCCCCCCCCCTTGAGATCCTGTCCTCTTTCTTCTTAATTTTTTTTGTAGAAAATGCTGGGTTCAATCTGTGTGATGGCCAATCCCACTCTCAGTTTATCTCCACATATCTCTCAATAGATCTTATTGGATTTGGATCCAAACTTATCATTCAACTATGAAGGTCTCATATTTCTGTAGCAAAAACTATTTTCAATGGCATTTGATAGGATTTCTTTATAAAATGTGGTGAAGAGACAGAGTACCTCAAGTAGCTGATTAGAAATAACATTCCCCTCTGGTGAAAGCTTTAAATTATTGTGCAGGTTGCTACTGATTTGAATATATTTCACTCAAACCTTATCAGTGAGAGACTTATATTTTCCAGAATTTCAAAGGTGCTCTGCTGGATGGTCAGTCCTCACATGCATTCTCTATCTGTATCTTTTGACTTGGGGCCACATAAGATGTTCACCCAATATTTCAATTTTGATAGATTTGACTCATACATAATTTTTTACCTCTTACTTGCACCTGTGGGCATGCTTCAACCCTACCGGGTTTTTCCCAGTCATTGAGAGTGGCAACGAATACCATGCTTATTAGTACCAGATTGATCGATAATTTGTTGGTGATCTACCTTTCAAAAGTAAAGCTTGTCATAGGCTACATCGTTCAAAAATTGAGATATGTATACATGCTTTTAACTCTAGAGTCCAAAAGATACAGGGGTTTAAGGATTTTTGTGGACCAAGCTGAAGAGTACGGCGCCCTGATGCACATAGACGCGAAGATTTAAATGAGTCGAAAAAAAGTATGTAAGCGATCAACATGATCAGACTAGCCGAGTGTGTTGAACAAGCGATCGCCACTATCTCCAAGCCCAGGGACAATCATCCCATTTTTCAATTCTTGATCAACCGAGCCACACCAGATCTGAAGGCCTTGACAGTCCTTAATGACGGCTTGCAGACCGGGCATACTGGCCAAAATGGTGATCAACTTGATGCGCTCCATCGGAATACCGGCGTTGACTAGCATGTTACAAGCTGCAATCGCGGTACCACCTAATTAGGGGGTTTTAAAGAAAAGGAAAGTGAGTCCCAAGTCAGTTCTTGCAGTTTTGCTTTTTCAGAGATTATGGAAGAAAGAAATATATTTTAACCTGTCGCAAGAATTGGGTCGAGCAAAAATACAGTGTCAACTTGGGGCACTGCCGGAAGTTTTTGATAGTATTCGACTGGCTGGAGTAAGGTCTTATCACGGAATAGACCTAAGTAGAACACCGAAGCCTCCGGAAATATATCCAAAAACGCTGATGGAGTTGCAAATCAATAAGCTTCATAATCAAGCAATCTGATCAAACAATAGAGAAATCCACTGACCATCAGTCATTCCGATTCCAGCTCGAAGGATTGGTGAGATGCCGATACGCGCTTCCAGGGCGACACCAGTATACGGAGCGATCGGAGATTGAAGCTTTTTACTCAAATCATTCGATCCTAGCTCAGTTTGGGGAAAAATAATTTGCCCATGTCATGCGGCCATCTCACGTACACCTTGGACAGATTCAGTTTCCAGATCCCTTGAAGCCTCGACCGCCAGTATGAAGGATATGTCCTTCAAAAGTTTTCCTATTCGAGTATGACATGATCATTCAATCGATCAGATCAAAGTCAGTTAAAAAACATTTGAGCCTTCATGAATCCAAGTCAACTCAACGGAATTCCGCCGGGAGTGTATCTCTATCCCTGATTTTCGACATCTTGTGCTTCAGCACTGGGTGCGAGGATCTGCGGTTTGAATGGTTCATTCAGTAACAAATCGGTTTTCGTCGTCAATTGCCCCGGGTTGTACCAGAGGACTCACATGTGCAGGTCTTCAAAATCATCATTGGGCACGTTAGCTGAGTCCATACGTCCTAATCTCGAGAAGTTTGTTGGAATTTTAGTTCCAGTCTCCAGAGGATGAGCTGTGTGCTGTGGTGTGGCAATCTTGATTCTCGATTGACAAAACAATTCTCCAACAAAGACCCGAAATACGTCATCGGGTAATGCACGACTCGGGTCCCACACGTGGTCCTCCCCGGGGAGAATTGGCACCCGATCTCGGCTGCAGACTGAGAGGCTCGGTCACGGCAGGTCACGGCACGAGCCTCGACTTGTGGCCCCGGCGGGCCGTGATCAACGACTAGTTCGAAACCCCATAACATGAATTCAAGGACTCAGCGAGCTTGATAGTTCGAGAGGAGTCAACTTGTAAACGGTCAATTATCCCGAACTCACTTCACACATTTTTGCAGAATCGGTCCGATTCCGAAGAGACAGACTCTCTGCAGCACTGGCCGTTCGGAGCTCTCTACAAAAAGCTTTGGCCTGCAGCTAGATTTACTTGGTACATCCCATGTGTCATGACTGATCCGTAACTTAAAGTATTGGTAAGATTTATAGAATTATCTATCGAAAAGTTACTTGATGACGTATAGGATATATATCTTATTTAGATTATAAGATGACATAATCAGTATTGTTTATGTAATCTTCTTGCAGATGATGTCATCTGTGCGGTTTTGTTGTCGTCATCGGGTCTGTGCTTTGAGTTCATATAGTCTGATGCTTGTTCTTCCTCTCTCTGTTCTTTCTCTTTCTTCATCGCGATATTTCTTATCATCATCATCATCTAGATTTACATTACCTATAGTAATAAACATCATAAAATCTTATCTAAAAACATTGATTTAACAAACTTCATTAAAGTTATTAAGAATCATTCGACTATTATCTTCTTACCTAGGCGAGTTACTCTCTTGAGTAACTTCATAGTCTCTGGATTTGAGAAGTAATAGGCCGACCCTCACAGTTATATCGCGATCTACAAAATTTAAATCGACTTTCATCAATCCATTTCCTTTCCGACTTTCTCTGGATCTTTGTCGATCAACTTTCTTCAATCCATTTCCTTTCCGACTTTCTCTCGATTTTCGTCGATCAACATCAATCCATTTCCTTTCCGACTTTCTCTGGATCTTCGTCGATCAACTTTCTTCAATCCATTTCCTTTCCGACTTTCTCTCGATCTTCGTCGATCAAATTTTTTTTTCACCCTTCAACAATCGATTCTCTTTATCATCACTATGTCAGACTCTTCGTCTCCATTGCTCTCTACTCGAATGAGGCTCCCTTCTCCAACTCCAACTCCACCGACTCAATTTTTATCGCCTCGACCGAATTATCTTTCCCCTTCACCATCACTACCTCCGTTATCACCACAACCTAACGATTTTGATCCGCGACCTATTCCACCTATGTCACCGACGCTTTTGGCTGCGGCGTTACCTTATCTTCCTGTTCCGGATTCGCCGACCGTCATTCCCGCAACGGCCCGTGATGATGGTGTTTCGAGTTTAATTTCTCATTTGGGTATCGAAAATCAGTCCTTAAATGATACAATTCTTTCGCATGCTCAAAAGATTGCTGATTTAGAAATTCAACAACGCCGTTATCTCAAGCTTTTCGATGACTTGAAGTCGCTTCTACCTCTAAGCTCTCAATTCATGAAGGTCAAGACCGATTCAAATGATCAATTCCTTCAGGTACGGAATGCTATTGACTCTGTGAATAATTCTACCGCTTCGCGTTTGGATCGTGTGGAGAGTTTTGTGAATCATTCTATCACACACCCGCCTACTCAGCCTAAGTCTTTTCGAGATCCACCCTATCTCTCTCACATTTATTTTTCTGGAGTTTTGTCAGAAACTAAAGAGTTTTGTTTTGCTATGAGGCATTCTTTAGAGATGCATGGTGATAATTTTCATAGTGAAAAGCATAAAGTAATGTGGATCGCTGGGTATTTTCGCAAGCCGGATGGGAAGCTGGGCGACAATTGCGCTTCATACGTTTGGTGGCGTGGTCTAATGGCGAAGAACGCTCATCATCAAAACCTGGATCCGAACACCGCGTCGTCTAAAGCAGCGTTTCTGTTAGAGGAGTTGTTATCGGGGGAGGCTTTTTTGGTCGCTATCGAGACGACGTTTTCAAATCACAAGGGTGAAGAGGAGGCTCGTAAATCGTTACGTGTAATGAAGCAAGGCAACACATCGATCGAAGAATTCAACGTCTCGTTCAACTCTTTGCTTTATGCGGTCGACCTCTCCGAAGCGTCGAAATGCGACTTGTATGACGAAGCCATTAATCCGAAGATTGTTCAACTCGGGTTGTTGCGAGGTGGTTGGAACGGGGTGACAGATTTGGCGAAGAAGCAGGCAATGGCTGTAGAATTAGCTGCTGATGTTCCTGGTGTGGCGTTGATAGATCGCTTGAGTCAGAAACCTCAACCTATTATTCAGAAAATCCAACTTCCGCCCAAGCCTGATTCTTCCAAAGCACCTCCCAGACTCTCGGATGGAGTTCCAATGGATATCGATGCTATTGCCGCTGAGCTGGGTTTCACTTACGATGCGTATCGTCATGAGTGCGTTCTTCAACATATTTGTCACCGTTGCGGTGGACGATACGATTCGGCTCATTCGGACGCTCGTCGATGCCCGGTGGAACGGAATTCTCAATTGTCTAAGCCTCAAATTTTGGGTATTTGGAGGGATTGGGGTGGATCGGACGGAGTCGAAGGCCAGTCTTCGCAAGGATCGCAATCCATCTCGGCTATTGATCGATGGGCTTCTTCGACGGGTCGTTACCCTTCGTCTCATCCGTCTCAACCGACCTTTCCTCAACATCAATCGGTTAATAAAGGCAAGAAGCGACAGTCGATTTCAGATGATGCGTCTGATCATTCGCCGAAACGTGCATTGAACAACCAACAGTCCAACTCCCCGATGGCGTCCACTAGTCATGGTGTGGTCGATACAGTTGATATGGAGCCTATGACGTTGGGGGAGTTGTTCTTTGAACGACAGTTGGCGGAAGCGCAATATGATGAATGTAAGCCTTTTGTTTATGTTAAGACTGCTAAGAATTCAGATAATCGACCTTTTTTCAATTCATCTTTATTTAAAGATGAGTTGGAGCTGACCAAGTGTTCTGTGTTGGTGGATTCGGGTGCAACATCTTCTTTTATTGACAATGATTTTGTTAGGATTCATTCTTTGCAAAAATTCACATTATCCAATCCGATGCAGTGTCGATCGTTTGATGGATCATTGGCGTCATCAGGACAGGTTATAGAATATATAAAAGGGAAACTCCTAATTCCCACGGTTGATGGCTCAAAATTTTTCTCTCATGTTGTTCTTCACATCACTCGTATTTCTTCTTCAGATGTTATTTTAGGCAGCTCGTGGTTAAAGGATTCGGATACTTATGTGGGAGGAACTGAAAACGATGTTGTTATTAAAACTTGTTTGCATGATATTTCTTCTGCAGATAATCCAGATTTCTCTTTTTTATTTGATGAATACAAGGAAGTTTTTGTAACTGAGCCTTTGTCTGAGTTGCCTCCCAATCGAAAAGGGTTTGATTGTGAGGTAAATTTGAAAGTAGGATCGGTTCCACCTTTTGGTAAGATGTATAACTTAAGTAAAGGAGAGAGGGACCAATTGAAGATGTATATTGATGAGAATGTTCAGAAAGGTTTTATTCGAGTATCTTCGTCTCCTGCAGCAGCACCGATTTTTTACGTTAAGGTGGCTGGTAAGGCGGATCGTCCTTGTGTGGATTATAGAATCTTGAATGGGATGACCATTCGAGATTCTTATCCTTTACCACTGGTATCTCAATTACTTAATAATTTACAGGGTTGCAGATGTTTATCGAAGATTGATTTAAAAGCTGCTTTTAATTTGTTAAGAGTTGCGCCAGGTCATGAATGGAAAACGGCTTTTCGTACGCCATGGGGTTTGTTTGAATACCAAGTCATGCCTTTTGGGTTATGTAATGCGCCAGCGACTTTCCAACGTTTTATTCAACACGTTTTACGAGAATATTTGGACGTATGTTGTTTTGTTTATATTGATGATATTTTAATTTTTTCTAAGACAGAGGATGATCACATTGCTGATTTGCGGAAGATACTCAACAAGTTGAGAGAATTTTCTCTGAAGGCTTCCTTAAACAAATGTGAATTTTTTTGTTCCAAAGTTACATTTTTAGGTTTCGATATTACAAAGGACGGATTGAAGATGAGTAATAAGAAGTTGAATACAATTAATGATTGGCCTTTTCCTTCTTCCATCAAAGAACTTCAACGTTTTCTTGGGTTTACAAATTTTTATAGACGATTTATTCAGAATTTTTCAGGCATAGCAGGACCATTGACGGCCTTGACGAAAACGAAGAAAATCCCTTTGACAAATTTTCATTCGACGGAGGTGACTGACGCTTTTGGGAAATTGAAAGAGTCATTTGTTTGTGGACCGTTGCTTATGCATTTTAATTTTGATAAGCCTCGAACGGTGCACGTTGACAGTTCTGGTTATGCTATAGCGGCTGTTTTGAGTCAACCAGATGCTGATAACAACAATAGACCTGTTAGTTATTTTTCTCGTAAGCTGACAGACAGGGAACGATCGTGGCCTATATTTGATTTGGAATTGTTGGCTATTGTGTCAGCATTTGAAGATTGGCGAGCTTGGTTAATGGGAACAGATGAGCCAGTTAAAGTATTTTCTGATCATTCTAATTTGATGTACTTCAAGACGGATAAATATTTATCTCCAAAACAGGCGCGTTGGGCGTGTTACTTAGACAATTTTAACATGTTGATTTACCATATTTCAGGCAAGCGCAATCCGGCGGATGCTCCTAGTCGTCGAGAAGATTTTGTGGCTGGTCGACCGACAATTCCGGAATCAACTTCATTGAAGGATAAGTTTGTTATGGCTGAACTATTGGAACCATTGAAGGCTGTTCATGATCTTCACTTTCAACAACCAAATGCTGAAATGTTATCTTTTCTCAAAAAGCATTATTCAGATGCTGATACGGCTATACAATCACTCACATTGAAGGATGGTATTTTGTGGCATCGGGATAGAGTTTATGTTCCAGATTCATTACGAGTTCGGATAATAACAATGTATCATGATTCACCTGCGGTGGGACATCCGGGAGTGGCTCGTACCCTGTCGATCCTGTTAAGGACCTTTTCTTGGCCGGGAGTCAAGTCGACGGTGTTGGCATTTGTTAAGTCGTGTGATTCATGTCAGCGGGTTAAGGCTCGGCGGATGATAGGTGATGGCAAGCTGATATCTTTGGTGTCAGAATCAAAACCATGGAGTACAATTGGTATGGATATGATAACTAAGCTACCCATTTCTGCTGGTTTTGATTCGATTCTAGTTGTTGTTGATTTGTTAAGTAAACTGACTCATTTCATTCCGTGTAGAGAGTCTGCTTCCTCGGCTGTTTTGGCTAATCTGTTTAGGAAAAACATTTTTCGACTACATGGTTTGCCGGATAAGATTGTCTCGGATAGGGGAACGACATTTGTGAGTAATTTTTGGAAGGCGTTGATGTGTTCATTGAACATCAAATCAGCTTTGTCTACGGCTTATCACCCGCAGACAGACGGACAAACGGAGAGGATGAACCAGACACTTGAGGATTATTTGCGTCATTTTTGTTCTTATTATCAAGATAATTGGGATAAATGTTTGGACATGGCTGAATTTTCTTTAAATAATTTGGATTCTGCAAGTTTGAAAGTTTCTCCGTTTTTCTTCACATATGGACATCATCCCAAGTTCAACATTATGACAGAATCAGTGGGAAGACAGGATTTAGATGACTTTGTGTACGATTTGCAGGTTACGCAGGAAACGGCAATGGAGTGTTTGACTCAGGCGTGGCTTCAACAAGCAAAGTATTATAACAAAGGGAAAAGAGATTCTCCGGTATATCATGTTGGTGAAGAAGTTTTGTTACTAAGAAAATTTATTCAGTCCCGACGTTTGAATTCAAAGTTGGATTATCGGTATATTGGCCCTTTTAAGGTAATCAAAATGGTAGGGACTAATGCTGTGGAATTAGATATAGCGCGGGAATACCCAAGATTACATCCAGTATTTAATGTCTCTCTTATTGTTAAGTATTTTCCTCCGAACAGTTTAGTAAATCGGTGTAAGACTCAAAAAGTGATTGTAAGATCCTTTTTGCTGAATGGAGAAAGGGATGAATTGAGCTGCAAACTCTGCCTTTCTATATTATCAGAAAACAAGACCACCAAGGTAAGCTTGGCAGTTTGGTTGGTGATAATGGATTATGTTCAAAGATGGTTGTATACTTGTTGAAGGTTGATCTTGTTGTCCAAAGGATTGATTGAGTTGGTGATGTTGTTTCCCGTCTTGATGTCTTGATACTTGTGTTCTTCCTTAATGCTGTAATAGAGGTGGTTCTTGAACCCAAAGGGTCTGGGAGTACTATGCTTCAACCAGGACTGGAACAAAGGACTGGTTCTTCTGTGTAATGTTTGTGAAACTGTGTATATATTTCAACTGTGAACTGTACTACTTGTGAACCTCTTGTGTAATAAATATCTGTGACAGGTGTCCCACCAAAAATGTGTACTGAGTGGGATCAGGAGGGAAACAACTGGCAGGCAGAGGCCTCCTTATATAGTAAAATATGAGGGATTTTAGCCCCAAGGGACCCCCTGTATGAGGCATTTTAGCTGCCCTATCCTTGAAAATCCTGAGGGATTTTGGCTAGACTATCTACAACGCATTCCTTTTATATGTAAGCTGTAAGAAAGGAATTCATGTGTTCTGTGGCTGAATAAATGGGAATTTAACTGGTACAACTGGTGGCCAACTTGTGGTTCTGTAAGTATAAAAGGAATTCAATATACATAAAAGGAATTCAATATGCAATATGCAATATACCCCCATGCAATATACCCTCCAGCTGAGTGCCTCTGATCCTGTGATCCTCCGTGTGACATCCTTGATTCTGCGTAACTTCTGATCCAGTAGAGATATGAAGGTGGTTCCAGTGAGTGACTAGGGGTTAAATTGGCCGTAGATTCCATTTCTGACGTCCATTTGTCCGTATCTTGAGTCCTTCATTGATAAATAATAAATTTTTGAATTTTCTTCCTTCATACACAGGAATAATGACCACATCGGGGGGCGGCGGAAAATTTCAAGAGTAAGTATTACGACAAAAAACAAGTGGTAGATTGGAAGAAGCTGAAGGCAGTGTTGGATTTCAGAGAGTTGAGGAAGGGGAGTTTTGATTATTTAATTTCTTGGCAGGGTGCCACAGTAGGAAATGATACGTGGGTTTCTCATTTACATTTCCCTGCTTCTCTGACAAGTTATTTGACTAATTTTAGAGATTCTCATGCAAAATACTACAAGAAAAATAAAAAAAAGGTAGGGACACTTTAGAGTATAAGGGAGGCCTGTTTTGTCATGACTGATCCGTAACTTAAAGTATTGGTAAGATTTATAGAATTATCTATCGAAAAGTTACTTGATGACGTATAGGATATATATCTTATTTAGATTATAAGATGACATAATCAGTATTGTTTATGTAATCTTCTTGCAGATGATGTCATCTGTGCGGTTTTGTTGTCGTCATCGGGTCTGTGCTTTGAGTTCATATAGTCTGATGCTTGTTCTTTCTCTTTCTTCATCGCGATATTTCTTATCATCATCATCATCTAGATTTACATTACCTATAGTAATAAACATCATAAAATCTTATCTAAAAACATTGATTTAACAAACTTCATTAAAGTTATTAAGAATCATTCGACTATTATCTTCTTACCTAGGCGAGTTACTCTCTTGAGTAACTTCATAGTCTCTGGATTTGAGAAGTAATAGGCCGACCCTCACACCATGGCATAAAGACATTTCTCTTGAACCCCGATAGCATTGTCCAACTGCCAGCATGCCCGTTTGCAACGCCAAACCCGTAGCGACTGGTCATACCGGTACCCAATCAGGTTCCAGCGAGCAAACAACATGTGGAAACGCTCGAGCTGGAACGCAGACATTCGGTCTTGAAAGTTTAAATCTCGATAAAACGATTCTGCGGTCGTTGTGTGCCCCTGTGCGAAATCATAAGAAGTAGATGGGCACACTATCTCTCTACAACAGGGCTATCCGATATTTGGATGGTACATTATACATGCAGGATTTCTATTACGAAAAATGAGAGCTTTCATCTATTCTGCACTTCTCACTTTGGTCCAACTTCACTTAGTCCTAGCAGCCATTGATAAAGTCATCATAGATTTAGATCCTCCGACCGCCGTAGACTTAGATCCCCCAACCATCGGTGATCCAGTCTCAGAAAGGTCAACTGAGCCAGAGAAATCATCACCAGTACCGTTGGCCGAAAGTCGTCTGGATAATTTACCTCCATTATCTTGCGAGAAAGAGGAACCCCTCAGAGTATCTCCTTCACCTCTACCTCCACTATCTTTTTTTCCCACATCGGCCGATTCTGCATCGAAAAAGACTCACATCTCCCCTGAAAAGCCAACTTCGTCAGGGACAGTACTTCCAGCAACTGAGAATCATCTAGGTGCGTCAACAGATAAAATAGATCATTTTGTTTTTCACATTTTATTACGATTGAACCGAGATGATTCTGGATTTCTGATGGATGTTTTGGCAGTACAGGTGATTGTGGCTACTCTAGCAAAAAAAGAAAAAGCCTGAGAATGGAGCAACCGGCCAGTCAGGGAGAAGCAGCTAATTCACTTTACTATTCTTCTTCGGAAGACGCAGCTCACGTCGGTTTGATTCTTTCCATAAATCCCCAGTCGTGTGAGAAAGTGATTCTGGCTGGCCCGTCGAGGTCGACAATTGAAGAACAGGAACGCAATGGTAAATTAGGGCTTTCCAAACTCCAAGCACCCAACATGACAAAGTGAAACAGCATTCGCTGAAGTAGAAATTACTTCTTTGCAGAAATCGCAGGCTCAAGTAAATTCGAGGAAATGGGTAAAATGATTGCAAATAAAAGACTAAGGTTTGCGACTCCAAGAAGCTTAAATGAAAATCAGAAAGCTTTAGAATATTCCGTTCCCGCTGCATTTAAACCACCAGGTGTTAAACCAAAAATCTGGGCTTGGATTTGGTTCATTTGGGCAAACGTCGAAAAAACAGCAAGGAAGGAGGTAAATATCTACATGCAAAATGCCACCTCCTTTTTGACATCGATCTACATCAATCAGAATAAACTGAATCCCTCTCCAAACAAAGATAATCTTGGAGAAACCTCTGGTGGAAATTTGCAACAAAATCCGATGAAAGCCTTTGTTTCTTTATTATGGGCTGTGAATATCAAAGCACTTGAGTATGCAAACATTCACCAAGACAGTCCTTATTATATTGGAGAACAGATGAGCTGTATGAATTGGTTTATTTGGTTTATGAAACAATTCAAAACTCCTAATCTGAATTTCAGTCTGAATCATGGAAAAAACTATGGGCATTTTATAACTAATGAAGGTGGACTGGTTTACCAAAAAATCTTGAAAGCTATTGATGCAAGATCAGAACAACTATGCTACAAGATATGGAACAAAGAAAATGAAGGTGAAAATGATTTGGTTTCAGAAGTAGAAATTCTGATGAGTGAAGCTGTGGTGAATTTTCTTGGATTTTACTATAAAACTACAAACTATGAAAAATGGAAGTATGTTTTTGGTGAAGAAGACATTGATTTTGTACTAAAATTGGAGCACTCTGGAAGATCAGGGGAAGAGAAGCCCAGGTGGAAATATGGAAGTGATTTAGATCTGATCCCCTGGCAAAATCCCTGCACACATCAGCTCCCAAGGATCAGTTTAACAGACTCAATGATAGGAGTTTATGATTACACAAAATACATTGAACCAATCATTTGCATGAAGTTACTCACAGAGATTCAAAATATAGGAGACATTAAACCATTTCAGATATCTCATGTCTTTGGTCTAGACAATATAGATGAAGATCAATTGAAATCTGTGTCAATTTTGAAATTGGAGAAAAATAACACAATTCTTCCTCATGGGTTTGAGCCAACTTCTGAGTTTATCAAATCAGCTCAGAATATATTTCTAAGCATGATTTCTTTAGTTTCAAATATGGACGATGCAAGTCAGATTTTTCACAGGATTGAAGATCCTAAGTTTAGAGAAAAATGGTACAGGATCTTTGAATACATGTGGGAAATCAATGGAAAACTACTTCAATGCTTAGGATGTGAGATGTTTGAAGAAACCTTTCTGAAGGAGCAAAAACTTGTTCAAATTTTTTCTGAATCAATTCTTACTCAAATTAAGCCAAAGAAGACTGAGATTGAAACCAATCTTGGAGACCAAAATGCTATCAATGATCATCACATGGAAACATTGCATAATTGCATAATAGATTTGTTTTTTCTTAATCAGAGTAAAGAAATTGATCCTCCAAAGCACTCGAAAGACCCAAACCTTAAAATATTACAGGAAGATTTAACAATGACCCAGATTTCACTCATTCTTATTGGGAATTATTACAAAAACCAAAGTTTCCAAAAGTGGAGTTCAATTTTTGGAACAGATCAGGTGTTTTTCATCTTCCTCACCAAGCTAAGCAATCCAGAAGAATTTGAAAGAATTGAAAGGGAAAAATACTCTATGTTTAAATCTATGGAACTCTTACCTTGGAAAAATTAAGGAAAGATAAAACAATTCATAAAAGGGAATCTTATCAAGAGTCTCTACAAATTCCCAAAAAAAAACCTCCCACAATTCAAGATTATTTTTTTTTAAAATCTAAATCATCAAAATTACATGTATTGTTATCCCACCTTGCCCCAAATTCTGTTTCGGATCCAATACACAAACCTGATGGATTTTTTCCTATCATGATGCTTTGTACCAAATCTATATTTTTCCTGAAACAGTTTGTATATTTTTTCTACAAAACTTGAAAAATATCTTCATTAGGGGGTATCAAACATATCCTAATCCACCATTATTCAATGGACTGGCTTGAAAAAATCTACCATTTTTTTAAACATGTTGGTTATTCATTTAACCCCTTTTGGGGCCCATTGTTACCAAAAAGATGCTGGCTTGTGTGGTGAAAAAGTGCTCACACTACTGGTGGTTGTATCTTTTAGTGACCACAGGGAACAGTTCTCACAAGACTGATGATTTTCATTTTATAACTCAGAAAGCATGATATCTATCTACGTACAAGTTATGGCTGGGTTGTGGGACAGAAGGTGAAGAAGCATCCTCATCTAGAAATGATTTAGAAAGGATTGACAGATGGGGAAGAAATGACACTTGTGTGACATAGGGAAAAAGGAGAAGACAAGATGAAAGCTAAATTCTAATAGTGGGAGTTCATAGTCAAAAGTGCATATAATCAAGAAGGGTCTTAGTTAACCGACTCCCAGATATTGGAGGTCCAACTCCCAGAAATTGGAGGTCCAACTCCCAGAAATTGGAGGACCAACACCCAAATTTCTGGGAAATCTAGAGGACTGTCTGCGGATGGTCCTCAAGATGTCCAACCCCAGAATTTCAAGTGAGACATCCAAAGCCTTTAAAAGGTCTGGGAGTCAAAACCTTTAAAAGGTTTGGGAGTCAATCCCCAAATAAAAATAAGCAGAAACCTCCCAGGGGTTTTTGGTAGTCAATTCTCTAAAAAACCCCGGGGGATTGGGAGTCAGCATTGTGGTGAGATTGATCAAACCCATAGATCTAGTTAAAAATATTTTATTACACATAAATAGTGTTTAAGAGGTTAGAGAAGAAGGGGTAAAATATAGAATACAATGTATAATAATTACTGGGTTAAAACATAGCTAAGATAAAGCCCAAATCAGGCCTAAAATACATAAATCCTTATGAATAATAATTATACAAATAGACTGTAAAAACACATAAAGAGATACTACATCCATCTTAGACTGGTAAATCAAGGTATTGATCAGAAAGTACCTCACAGACTAGCTCTAGAAAATAACTCTTATACTAATTAGTCTAAGAATACCATTTTCATATTAATTAATCTAAGAATAGGCCTCATATAGTAGATTTACAATCTCTTGTATTAGAAAGGCACTTAGAGATTAATTCATATCAGATTAGGCCATCTCAGAGTAGTAAAAAACACTCTAGAAGTACCCTTCTCAGATGAACTTGTGTTCAGGCCAAAAACCCATGTACTGAAGAACCATTTGTCTATAAATAGAGGCTCCTCTGGCCCATGTTTTCCTTTCTCCCTCCTCATCCCAGCTACAGAATAGTAATCAGAGATATTACTCAGCTTTCATCACCCCTTGATTAAAGAAATCCAGAGATTATTAGAGCCCTTGAACTTCCCTTACCTCAATTTTGGCCATAGAAAAGTAATTCAGAAATATTGCTTAGCCATTCTCACCTCTTTGAAAGATTTAGAGAAATCAGTGTACCTTTATCAGAGCCCAGAGAAACCAGAGAGTCTTATAAGATCAGAGAATCAGAGAGAATTTATAACAGATATAACAGAGAAATCCCTTCAGAAACCCTTAATACTCAGAAAACCTCACAAACTCCTTACCTCTTCAACAGGTATTCTTAAGCAACAACACTAGTAGTATCAACACTAAGATAAATTTAGAAATAAGCCACACTCTTATTTTTCTTAGTGTAAATTTCCCGCAAGCTAGACAGGAGGGCAGTCTCACCCACACACCAATACTAATTCTACTATTCCATAGTCTTATTAGCTATTTTATCCCCTCCAAGCTCTTTACTCACTTGCTGAGCAGTTCCACAGCGTCAGAGAGCCCTCAGCGGCCAAGGTGAATCCCTGTCAATTCTTTCAGTCCCTGTGTCCCTCAACACCAACTCCCAAACCCTCCTGGGGGTTTTAGAGAATCAACTCCCAAAAACCCCCTGTGTTTGGAGGTCTGACTCCCAATTCCGGGGTTGGATGTCTTGAGGACTGTCTGCAGCCGGTCCTCTTGAAATCCCAG